TTTGATGTTTTGACGTTATTTCATAACACGTTACATGTGATTACACCAATGAATTTTTGTCTACGTACGTCATGTAAAATATATGGATTCAATATAAACACTACGAATTTGTGTTCTTATCGGGAGATACTTGTTACTTGTGACTAATTACTGGTCGCTTTCCTAAAGATATATTTTACCTATGCATATGAGTAATATATTATGACTCTGAGATTTTTCTTTTATTTATAAATAAATTACAGATCTGCTAATATATTTTAATAAACATACATTTTTGCGCGCACATTTCTACACGGTTTTTATTCTGCTACCACCCACGCATACTCGCAACATTAAACGTGCAATATTAAACTGAGTATCTTTTAGAAGAATAAAAGTGGTTTTAAATTTGTTAACGTTTCTTTTTATTAAAAAATACATGGTAAAAAAATCTCAGGACGTATAAATACATACTGCCGTTTCAAAGGAACCTTAATCCGATGTTAGAGAGAGAAGCAGAGAGGGTGCAGTGCAAGTTCTAGCAAGTATATGTTCAATTTGGTAGTTCCAGTACCTGCGTAGTTTTGCAAGGAGTGGCAAAGCGCAAACGAGATGTGTGTGTGTGCGTGTATGTGTGAGAGAGAGAGAGAGAGAAAGAGAGAGGGAAACGAGAGAGATGGATGGATGACGGCGACGTACAAAGACGCTTCAGGGGTGACGAGAGCGTGCGAAGGGGGTGGACGGGCGGCGAGGGGATCGGCCTGCCTGATGGAGCTTGAAACTGAATTAACCATCCCCGCCCGGGGCCCGTGATCTCGTCGCAACCTCATCTCGGCGACCATTATATTTGTCTTTGTATGCTAAACATTTTGTGGAATTATACGAGACAGGTTTCGAAGAGTCGTCTCTCCCTCTATTCTCTCTCTTTCTCTCTTTCTCTCTCCCTTTCACTCCTCCTTTCTCCCCCGACCCCTCATCCTATTTCTGCAGCGTGATCGAGAAACGATAACGATTACAGGGCATACCTCCCTTGTGCAAGATTACTTTCCAGGCGAAAAGCGATCAGTGAAATATCGTCAGTTTCCCATGCGCTTTTTTTATGCACGTCGGAAGAATTTACGGGAAAAAACGAGCAGAAACACTGTACTCGCGTTCGAAAGTTGCAAAGTTCAGAGAAATATCCTATACGCGTGTGGTTTTTTTTTTAAACGTAATTACCCGTGTGTTTTCTGATACCCCAACATTATAAAAATTTTCAATATTTCGTTTGATGATTTACGATGAGATAAAGATTTATAATATTTTCTGTACATTCTTCTTGCTCTTTTGATAAAATAAAAAATTTTTTTTATTATGAATTTTGTAAGAAAGATAATAATATACATAATTTTGCGTTGTATGTATATTAAATAGTATACATACACAATGTATGAAACGCATTTATATATTTAGCAAATTTATGAGGCAGAAGTGTTCTGAATATCCTTTGCGAGTAATGAAGAATTAAAAATAAAAAAATTTATATGCAGATCTTCTATCTACGGATAAAAAATTATTCTTTAGAGGTGTTTAATAGTGTTTATGAGAAGTTGTATTTGTTTTTATTTTTCATGAATTTTGTGTTTACTTATTAAAGAGTGAATGGAGAACGAATTTATTAATTTTTTATAAAAATAATTAAAGATTATACATCAACTAATTAGTATAATCGATAGTATTATCAAAGAAAAATTGAACGTTAAGTTGTTTAAAGGGTTTGTAAATGATAGAAGTGGCGGAGCCGGCGCGCTCGATCCGAAATATCTTTGTAAATAACTCGCCTACGTTATTTCGATTACAAAAGCTTCCTTTTCAACTCGCGAATGTCGATATGCCTTTATGTCGGTGTCATACTGTCTGTGCTGTTATAAATCGATAAATGGATAAGATAAATCTTTACATATCATATTGTTATCGATAATGATACTATTCATGCTATTTTGCCACGCATTAGTTATCGACTTTCTTTGTGTTCATTTTACCGAAACGATATTTTAAAACAATTAAAGGAGAATCAAACAAGGCTAATGAGAGTACAGCGCGGTTAATTGTGGGCAACAAAATTATATAAAAACTTTAGTTAAACATTTTTATTGCAATATTATGATGTCATCCAACAGTTAATTGAATGTTTCGACTCTGTTTTGAGTCTTAGTCTCTTAGTATATATTCCTCGTTTGGTTTTCTGACCCATTTGAGAGGTCATAGTATCATGCGTATCAATTTTTAGCTTTTTAGCCTTTTCGGGAAGCAGAGGCTCGTTTATGTTTTTGCATTTAGTAGTAATTTACATTCTTACTTCTTAGAATTTGTCAACACTCGAGGGAACCTACAGTTTAATGCCAAATCCAAATGGCGAACGCGAAAAATCGCGTATGCTGGGTGCAAGTGGAGTCAAACCCGAATCTACAGATCACGAGTCAATCGCACTGAGTGGCGAGTCATATTTTTTTCATTTTCAGCAATTCGGATACATTTTATACTTTATATATTAATCCTCAGCCGTATTTTAAAATTAATTATTCATTATTTTAAAATTAATTATCCAAAATATTTTTATTGAATTCTTTTAAAAATTAAGTTTTAAAATTAGATACATTTTTCACATTTAGGCCGGTATTCATAGTCGGTTTTTATTTCAAGACCGTCTTAAAGTAATGTCTTAAGACGCTAATGCGACTCTTTGATTGGCTCGTGACACCTCAAGGCCGAACTTAAGACAATCGTGAATATAAGAACTGATTATGAATACTGGCCTTAGCTTTAAGTATCATCTCTCTCTCTCTCTCTCTCTTTCTTCCTTCTTTTGAATTTTATTTACCTAATATAAAGATTAACTTGCATTGAATATTAAGCGTTTAATATTAAATGTTAGATATAAAAACAACGATTTAAGTGATAAAAAATTAAGAGACAGACATCGTGTGTGTCGTTATCTTAACAAGAATTTTTTAAATTCCAACGCATTAACGATTTTTGATAACTTAAGATGTGTATGATAATAACTACTTGATAAATATCATTAAAATCAATCGTTTCCCAAACAGGTTTCATCAGTTTGTTACTCATTAATACAGCTTAATGTAAAGATTCATCTTCCTTGACGTTGATGTAAATTCATCGCGAATGTATCGGTAGCCCAAATATCATGCTGTGCTGCATCGTTAACGTATAATGAGATTACTGGACCATACGTCGGAAAAGAGTATTGGAGGAGAACGAGGAAGATGGGTTATGGATTATGTTAAGAATAAAAGTGCGTGTCCCAATTAGTAACTACACTATATGTATACGACGAAACAATAGTTTTGTACATTATCAAAAATGATTAATCTATTGTCGTTGCCTTTCAAAAATCTGAAAAATGAAAAATCTTTTTACATAAATTTTTGTACATAATTTTTTTTTACATAATTTTTTACATATAATTACAAAACGTCTATATAGAAAATTATATAATTAATAAGAAATCCTTGTTGTCAAGTAAATATATAATTAATACTAAATTTTTACAGAAATAATGTAGATAATCAATATAAAAATTTTCCCCCCAAAAATTTATTTTCTCTATTAATTATTTATACAATTTTATATAATTAATAATTTTAAATAACTTATATAACTACTTTAAATAATGAAAGACGAATGTTTTCATGTATTTGATTTTTTCCACGATTTTTATCGGTACTTTTCGAAATATTAAAAGTAAAATATAAACCTATTTGACTAGAACATGATGACAATTCATATCGTTTTACGAAACATGCTAGTGGCGCCATGTTGTTTATATACTAATGGTCCGTGATATGTAATCCCTACGGTAGGGGTGGTTCGCGCCTGTCGACCCTGTGGTTGGCTCACATGAAAACTTGCATGAGTCAATTATCCGATGCATCATGCTGGAAACATGCTCGTCCGTTGACTGCAATGGAGTTTGTAGTAACAGAATTGTCCCCATTTTCATGTATATGTACGTGTCATACGTTTACGCGCGGAGAATTACTTTCGCATATGAAAAATTGTCATTTATCCATCATTGAAATAATGTATCTTTTTTCATGTAATTTTATCGTAGTCGAGAAAAGTTTCTCATACTAGCACATCTCGATAAGAGAATAGAAGGAGCCCTTAATATTTCTCTATTAATCTCGCCTGTTCTTCCAATATATACTTCAACAAAAAGAATTTTACTTAAATTTTTGAACAATGAATAAATATTCATTAAACAGCAAACTTTTTGTTTCTGTGCTTCGCTGTACTCTTTTTTTAGCATAAGAAATTTATTGTTAGATCGAAGAGATAAAGGATACATCGGCCGGTGTGTTTCTTCCCGACTCAAAATCAAGATTGTCCACCATTTACAATCTGTGCCATCCGAGTCTGACGAACTTACGTTAATTTACACGAGATTACGTGTAAATTTGATTACCGAGCCAACCATATATGTATGTGTAAAGTGTGTGCGTGGCATACACGCTTGCACGCACGCATCCCATCTCTCGTCAGCGTAACATTTTTCAACTTACGTCGTCGGAACATCAAATGCCTCCCCCTCCCCTCTGTGGCAGCTCCGTCCACCCCCTCCGGCGTCTTGCGGACGCGTGGCGACGACGGCGGCGGGAGAACGCGGCTGTCCACGGATGGGTAGCGTCGCGACGCCCCGCGGGGTCACCCCAACCCGGAAGCTCCGCCCCTGTGGAAGTCGGGCCGCCAACCGGCGTATCCAGCGTACGAGACACGGTAGGAGGAGCCACCGTGTCGTCGTCGTTGGCGCCAGGTAAACGGCGATCCTCTGGGCTCGGCCGCGGCACTTAGCCGCTTAGTATCGCGCCGACTCTCGAGTAAATATCTTCTTATTCCTTTTTTTTTTTCCGGAGTCCCTTTCTCTCCCTCTCGCTGGTTCCTTGACTGCGCTCGCTTTCTTCACTGCACGCTTTCGTTCCCAATTCGAAGCGAATGTGGGTCCCGCGATCGAGGCGTCGATCGCCCACGATCGATCATTCTTGAAGTGAAGGTCATTTAATTTGTCGCGCCAGTCGGGTTTTGTTTGACCTTTTTGACGCACGGAGGTGCCGGGAGGACACAGATGGAGACGAAAACGGAGCCGCTGACGCCACCGCAAACACCGCCGACGATCGACAGATCGATGCATCAGCATCAACAGCAACATCCACAGCAACATCAGCAGCAGCAACAACAACATGTAGTTTTTTCAACCTCGAAATGGGCCAAATCAAACTTCCTCAACGGCAGATACATCCAGCAGCACCATCCGCAACATCTTCAGCCAACGCACAGTGCTAGCAACTATCAGACCACTCTTATCAGTAACTGGTTGAAAGACGCGGCCCTGTTAACGTTTAGGGGTTGCTGCCCTCAACGTCCTTATCTGTACTATCAGGGTCATCCGGGCACTATGTTTCCGGTACCGCCGCCACCGCAGCCTCCGTCGTTTCTCGCTCGAAGATCAACGGGCCAGAGGCCTAAGAAACAATTCATATGCAAGTTCTGCAATCGACAGTTCACGAAGAGCTACAACCTGCTGATTCACGAAAGGACGCACACCGACGAGCGACCGTATTCGTGCGACATATGTGGGAAGGCTTTTCGCAGGCAGGATCATTTGAGGGATCATCGGTAAGTATTCACTATTAAAATAGACGCTTCAATTCTGATCATGATAAAATATGTTATATGTTTACGTGGTATAAAGTTATATCGTTTACGAAATAAAAGTTGCAGAATAATTTATAAAAGGAAGGTAACAAATAATAAAAAAAAAAAAAACGGCGTGATTTTAATATGTTAATGATAATATAACGTGGTAACTTATTAAATTTTGTGATAATAATGCTGCAACAGTGAACTTGGATATAAATTTGAATCTTTAATTTAACTGATTTTTCCATAACTAATTAAAAGTAAGTAAAATTATATCAAAGTTGTGTATAAGTACAAAATTTTAAAATAAGAATACGTCAAATTAAAATAACGCAAAGTTAATGAACTTGTATCACAATAATGTATTAATAATGCAATTAACGGATACACTGAAGAAATAAATGTCGTTTATTGTTCAAAAGAATTTTCAAAATTCTTTGAGAACATCCATGAAGAATTGAACTTAAAAAAGTTTTTTCTGTGAATGTTCCGGTAATTTGCTGTTCGTCTATTTTATATATCTGAACGTCTATTCTTTAATTTTTTGTACATATTATCCTTGACATGTTAAATATATTGTTTGTGAAAATCTTTACGATCTTTTTTGCGACCTTCAAAAAGTATTAGGAGACACGGTAGTGTCTCGACATCAGTTTACATGATGTTAGACGCAGCACGATACAAAACGAATATTTTATGACACTTTTATTGATGAATAAACATTGGTGATTAGATCAATGATTGTTATATATTTAATTTAATTCTACATTTATATGTATATAAGAATATAGATATTAAAATTCTTTATAGAAAATAGATTTTGAGAAGTTTAATAATTAATTCCTTTTAGATAAACTATTTAATATTTTAATAAAATGTTTCTAAGGAAGTTTCCGTTTCCGTTTACATTGATATCGTCAATAGATAGTTTTGTAATACTGTATCCAGATTCGGTAAACATTAAAGTAACATTATTTAGTGGAAAGTTGAACTGTGCAGTTTCAACTTTCCATTAAATAACGTAATTTTAGAGTATCACATTATATTTTTATACCCGGTATTGCAAAACTTTCCTAATAATCTGGAAATATTTTTTTTATCGTAATCGTTATCCCTCGAACGTCAACGTATTAATTCGTTTATTTAGACTGGTATAATTTTTAGTTTATTCATTTCACCATCTAGCTGATACAGTAGACCGAATAATTTTTCATAAAACGAGTACATATCCTCATCGCTCGCGGCTCATTTATCGATTAGTAATGTTATTGTCATCATATATCATGTAGTATCGGAATATTTTTTATAATATAAAAACATCACATGTATATAGATATTATAATATTACATTTTAGTATTAAATATGTTGTTTGGAAAATCTATTTGTTTAAAAACAAAACCCTTCAAATACTTCTTAAATATTTCTGATTTCTTATTTATCTTATACATATATATGGATGTCCTTAGTATGATTACGCAGGAATGCAAAACAAAGTCAAGAGATCAACATACATCGTCTAAGCATCAATTGATGCTTACAAAATCATCGTAATAATTCATCATAGTAACTCATCATTGTATATCATCATAGTATATAAACTCTCATTAATGAAAATTATTATAATTTCGGTGATTTGGCAATTAATTGTATGTAAAATTTTTCGTTAAAAATTTAAAAACATTTTTTTTACGCAAAAAATTTTATTTTTATTCCGGTTACAAGGATTAAAAATATCGATGTCGGTCATATAAGTTATCGTTATCAATACTTGCTATCATCCGCATTCCTGTGAAAACAAGAAATATCAATTTATTTCTGTCATCAACTTATTGTTGATGATGAAAGCCAAATACAATTATATATCGGTTAGAAGGAGAAAAAAGTTAATGTTTATCGAAAATAAAGTAAAGATTATCAGACATGAAAGAAATCAATTTACAAAATAGAAAAAAATTACTGCAATTTATTTATAAAATTATTTTTTATCAGAATATTTATCAGAATATATATATATAACAGTAACATTACACTAATATTATAATTTTCTCTTCAACAATATAAATATAATATAATACAATTATATATAACAGTCACATTATTGGATACTAGATCATTGATGTACTGTTATTGTTAGTTTGTGTTCTGCAGGATATGGACGTATAAATTCATTAATGGAAAACTAATAAAAAAAAAGAGATTGCTAGCTCGGCAATCCAGGCTGACGAATTTTTTTACATTTTAGATATATACACAGCAAGGAGAAGCCATTCA